AGTTTACAATGGAATTAACTATTTCAGTATGGTTTTCAGTAGGTATTTTTAAATAGGATGAATTCATATGTGATTTTCTGTGAAGTATGTTGTTGCATTATCTGTGTGGTGACTGCCTCACTTCTTGATTTGGTGCTGTTTAATCAAGGAGTGGGAGTACAAAGGAAATCCATACTTCTGCTGGAATAAATGGTTGCCTTAGCTTTGAATTCTGAGACAGGCTGACTATCTCTTTTCGTCTCAACAGTAACAAGTACGTTAATTTATGGTAAGGTGTTCAGTGCAAAATAAGGTGATAGGGTTTATAGATGTTTATTCTGTTCACAAGTCAATAAATTAAATGAAACTGCTCCAGTGAGAAATTTTTGCAATTAAATGATTGGAGAAGAAACAGTGTGACTCAGTAGTTAAAGCGGAACAAAGAGAAAACAATCCATCCTCAACTGATGTAGTAGTCTATTTTCCACTAGCAAGCAAAATACAGAATTCACTGAGTCCTTACTCTACATTTAGATGAATAAAAAAGCTGACCATGACAAGCAAGGGAAACTTACTACATATTACTCCAATAAATTCATCAGCACGTATAGCTTAACACTTATATTTCTATACTCTGGTAATATAAAAGAGTATTCCCTGCTATGTGTGTTAGCAGAATATTTTGGAGAAGTAGTTGGAAATGATAAAGCTAATGTTTTGGATATTATTTCAGTGATTATTCTGCTTATGTCTTTGTCAAGGAATTCACAGCCAGCATCCTGAGTGGTTTTGTTTAGTTTGTAAAGTTTGTTCAGTTTGTAAAATATAATTGTCCTAGAATATTTTAGAATTTCAAGGTAGATTAGCTTTTCATTGATTTTGACTGAGGACCTCATTTTTAGATAAGCTACATGACATTTTTAAAGACACTATTATACTTTGTTTTCCTTGATAGGTAAAACAGTTTAGGAATAAATTCTTGTTTGATATGGGTATGTGTAGAAGAGAAAAGATGAGACCAAGGTTGAACAGTCAGGTAACAAGCATTTCAGAGTATTTATGTATGAAATGACCTGACAAGTGTAGAAAATGTCAACAAAATAAAAACAATGTCTAAAAACAGCATATGTTCAAGAACAGCTTGTAGAAAGGTCATAATAATAGTAGATTATATTATCCAGAACACTCCCAGGAAAAAGTACAGAAATGTATAAGGAAAAAAAAATAGCTGAAACAATACAGAGTTATAACTAGTATAGACAATGTCATTGAAATGGAGTGAATGAATCACTTGGTCAGAGTAATGATAATTGCCCTAGTGATACTCACTGGAACAGAATGTATCTGAAAAGTCTTCTGTTTTCCCAGGTTTTGAGGATAGTGGAAAAATACAAAGTAGACTATGGCGTACAGTTTTATTAGTTGTTGCAAGCTGAGTTGCTTTCAAGGACAATTATACTGAATTCAGTGTTTTCATACTTTTTGTGTAAATCAGGTAACTGCAACACAACTTAAGTTTTGAGAAGGCCTTTCTTGTTTGTTTTATAAATGAAAGCAAACAATGAAAATGTGCAATGGATGCTATCCTGACATCTGGCAGTGGTGATGTCATGTGCGGAGAAAAGACAGTAAAACTGCTTCCGTTGTGTGTCAGATGGAAACTGCTGCTGAAAATTGGTATCTGCCAAGATACTACCCTAAAATAATACTTGAGTGAGGCAGTGAAAAAGAGGAAGATACTGAGATATCACAGAATTGTTTAAGGTAGATGGGACCTTTAAAGGTCATTTAGTCCGACTCCCATGCAGTGAACAGGGACATGCACAGCTAGATCAGGTTGTTCAGAGCTTGGTCCAGCTTGATCTTGAATGTCTCCAAGGAAAGGGCATCCACTGTGTCTCTGGACAACCTGTTCCAGAGCCTCACTGCACTTACTAAAAAGAAAAAAAAATAACAATTCTTATATGCAATCTAAATCTCCCTTATAATTTGAAACTATTTCCCTTTATCCTGTCACAACAGACTGCTAAAGTCTGTCCCCTTCTTTCTGATAGTCCACCATTAAATAACGAATATTCTTTCATAAGGGATGGAAGTCCCAAGGTTTTCTGAGTACTTTTATAACTATGTATTTTCTGCACATTTACATAATGATCAGTTTTCTTTCCTGTTGCATTATGTGGAAGCATCTTTAGAACTAGAGCAGTAAATGAAGAGGGGTTAAGTTAAGAAAGTAAGTGTAAGATGGAAAGACACGTCTGTGCTTTTTCATATTATTTTCCCAAGTTTACAATAATGTTTCATGATTTCATTTTACTGTACTTCCTTTAACTGTTATTTTTCCCATTTCCAGAGATATTTACTTTAGTATGACATCTTTTTCATGTAATTTTTTGAATCCAAAAGCCATTACTTCTGCAAAATAACACGCATCTTTGGCCCTTTGTATGTCTTATATTTGTAAATAATGTGCATAAATAAATTGTCTATTTCTCCTGAACTGCACATGGAGATGTTCTTGAGGAATTGCTAAGTTTTCTAGAAAGTAGTCAAATTATCTAGAAGTAATAATACAATAATTCTTGTAAATTATGTCTTTTTATATGGAAAGAATTTGTTTTCCCCTTCCAATAACTCAGAAAGGAGAAAATGTGAAGAATATATATAAAGTAATATATAAAGGTTGCAGGTATTTCAATATATATGCACATAATTATTGGACTTTGGATAGATTATGTAGTCAGGTTTAAGGAAAACATCCACTTCGAGCAGTGGAAATTTCGGAGTGTGCACTGCAAATACATAGTCTTTCTTCAGTATTCAATAAAGATAAACTGCTTTCGTTTCTGTTACCAATCCCCTTTTTTTAGTACCTTAAACACATATGGTATGGTATTTAGATTCCTTTAGGTTTATATCACATATATTACAGAGGGCTAATCAGAAGATGTGCAATGCAGTACATGAAAAACACATTATTAGTATACAGTATGTTTGTGTTTGATGACATAAAGTTTGGCAAGAATTATGTTGGGCTTCTATACTGTGGTTTTAGTTGTCATTTGGAATAGCTTGTCCATAGTTGCGTATTTGAAATTTTTAAACATACTTACATTTTAAAGTGAGAGAAAAATGTATTATTACTCATTTAGGTACTAGTGGAACCTTTATTCCAGGAGCAAAAATTTCTCTTGCTATTTCTACAATCTGAGTTTTTTCGTTGTTCTTCCTTTCTTTGTGTTACAGTGGTTAACATTTTCTGTAGTTACTTGTATTGATTTGGAGGGGGGAAAAGAAGTTCTTATCTATTGTACACTTTTTGTTAAATAACTATTTATTTCCATTTCTGATATATGATATGAACCAATTATCATTGTCTTTCATGGTTTCCAGTAATGACCTGAAAACACAGTCTTCTGATTTTACGTCAGTAGCATGGTCTTCCAAGAAGTTTAATAACACTTGTAGTAAATTAATTAATGTACAGTACTGTAAGTTGAGCAATGGTAAGGCACACTTCTAAAGCAGAGAATGCTTCTTTTAGAAAGGATTTCTGTTTCTTTTATTTGATTCTTCTGGTCTTTTTAATTAATAAAGGCCTCTTATTCAAAAGTATGAATACATTGTTAAATGTATTACATTAGTGAGTGATGTAAGAACAACTGTCCAAGGTTCCTACCTGAGTCCACTTCCATTAATTTCAGTCTTGGCAAAATTGCTTACGGTGTATGACATATGTGACAGTACAGGTGCTCAAGACTAGGGCTTGTGAATCTGAATCCTATGTTGATAGAATTTCAACTAAGAGCTTTGATATAATGGAATGCACAGTGGTTTGATGGTAGAGAAAGAACTATTGGTAGAGAAAAGCTATTTTAAGGTAGTTTTCATCATAAAACAGGTTGCACTGAAAGGGAAACAGGAAAAAAGTGCCTTCTGAGTGGGAAGAATCAGTGCAGAGTTAACAAGTAACACATGATGTCATATTCAAAAGAAATAGAAATAGTGCTGTGTTGGAAGTTTCCATGTTTTTAACAGCATTGCTAGGAGAAGGAAAAAAAAAATTCATCTAGAGGCACAGAAACTTGTACTTAGAGCCTTAACCATGTATCATTCAGAGTAACAAACTTCAGATTGGACTTTCAAGATACCATTGAGACATCTCAGTGACCTGTTTAAAAATAAAAAAAAAATCAGTGGTTGGGGCTGTATTTAAATCTTCAAAAACATTTTCAAGTTCAGTGGAGTCATTTGTATTTCAGCCTGCGTGCTATTTAAGTAACTGGCTTTTGTTTTAGAGAGCTGTGATAAGATTTTCAAAAAATAAAGTAAAAATAAAGGAGGCACTAGCATTAGTTATTGCAGCTCTTGTTAATTTGTAACTTGTATCAGGTAATTTGTTCCTACTAGCCTTCTCTACCTTCATGAAAAATCTCTGAGCAGCTAATTTGGGTAGAAGAAAATAAAGTGTGTGTATACAATGTATTTTGCTGTTGTTTTCTCAGGTTTAGAAGTGCTGTTCACTCTACTTAAGTTTTGTACTTCCAGAATTGAATATGTTATTTGTAATTAGCAAGATGTTTGACAGTATTTTTGATTCTTTAGAAGACTAATTTTATTACTAATATTGTGTTAATAAAACATGTCTTTTTTTTTCCTCAAAGAGCTTTTTAATTTCTGCATTTGAACGTATGTATAAACTGAAGTAATGCTGCCTTATATACTTTGGTCTTGTTTAATAAGAGGCAGATGAATGTACTTCTTGGGGGGTTTAAAATACTTTTAAGGCAGGCGTTGACATGGTTAGGGTTGTATTCTACAATAAAGTGATACAATCCTGATTTCTTGAAAGAGTGACAAGTACACTAGATCTTGTTACACTGAAGTCTGAATGCTTAAAATACTTTTTATAAAAAAATTCCATCAAAATATATTTATTTTAAGTTTTTAAAACTTACATTTCTTTGTTCAATGTTATCCATGCATATAATTTTTTTTTTTTTTTTAAGTAAATAGTTTATATAGTGTGCAAAATTACAAGGTAACTATAGAATGTATGCTGTAGATGATATCTGCTATTTCAGTGTTAATTTTGTTGCTATTATCAGAGCATCACTGGAAGATCAACAGTTTTGTTTTGTTTTTTTTTTATCTTAATGGGAGACTTAGTTTCAATTTTGTTCACTATAATTTAATATTGCAATTAGATTGTGATGTTTGCAGTTGCTATGTAGCTTAAATAGAGAGAATTTATGCCTATAGGTCCCTTAGTTTTAAAGTCTTTCTCTATGCTAGTTTGAGGTTATTTGCCAAAGTAATGGATTGAGAACAGCTGTGAGACCCTAAAGCAGAAGAACATTTTGAACAGCCCATGGAATTAAAAGAAGTGGATGTGAGTCAAATAGAGACACATTGCAAAGAAACACTGTAGATCCAAAACCAAATTCCGAACTGCAAGGGACAAGATGTGAAGTTTTCATCTTTTGGACAGTCACTGTAGGGGGACACAGGATATTGCTAAGCAGTTCTTTTTTTGTTTTGTTTTTTCTTGACTTATTATTGGAGAAAAAAAGTCTGTTTTGCCCCACTATCAAATGCATTATATAACTTTCATATTCCTTTCGGGGAGCGGAGAAATGGTTACAAGGATTTAGGAGTTTCTGAATTGACTGTCAGTATGATGGATCAATATGTAACAGAGACTTCTTGAATTCTTTTGAGGGCCATTGGTAGTTTTGTGGTTATAGCTTTTCTTTGTTAGATTACTACAATAAGTTATGATTATATACTGTGCACAAATTTTGAAACACACATTAGTAAGCCAAAAGTGGCGAATCTAAACAATCCTAGATTTTGCTAAATAAATCCAGGACGATACTGTGTATCTACTTGGAGTGCAGTTTACAGACAAATACTTCTTTTCTATCTTAGAATAGTATTTGGAGCTTCTGAGATTAAGTATTTTTGTAACGCTTGTTAATGGTTTAGAGAACTTAATAATGGATTAATAACAGATTTGGAAAAAAAAAAACACTATCTCAAGGAAGCAGGGAGCTTTCAGTAGATCTCTGAATCCCAGTCTTAGTGCACAAACTGTAAAGACAGTGAAGACAGAGCTGTCATAACATCAGACACAGCTGTTTTGAAAATTTGCATTTCTTATTTTGCTAGAAAGCTAAAGAAAAGCCAGATGAAGAGGTAGCTGGAAAGAACATTATGAAGACAGAGCATGGAATTATGGTGAACAGTAACCGACATAACCTGTACATTTTGCATCCAGTGATCCAAAGAAACACTAAACTACACAGAGTGGGTTCAGTCACCTTCTTGGTTGGAAAGACACCCAAAGAAATCCGCAGGTGAGACTCCTTTGATGAGAAGAAAGTAAAATTCTGAGCTTGAAAAATTAATGTTCTTTGTGTTTCTACCTGCCCCAGGGAATTCTGATGTTTTTTGGGTTTTTTGTGGCAAGAGCCGTACTAACAGGAAACTTCCACTCTAACATTACAGAAAGAAATATAATTGATTAACAAAATGAATTTAACGCACAGGTCAGTTTAATTTGTTGATTTGATCTGTCACATGTTACATTGCTGTGCAGGTATCATCACCACAGTATTCATGACATATGCACCATGCAATATAATGAACTAATGCTTAAACTGTATAGAAGCAACAAATTTTTATAGTGGCAGTCTCTGACAGCTTACTGGTTTTGTCTAGATTTCATCACTTTCATTAAAAGACTGTAAAAAGATTAAACATTTTATATATTTATATATATATATATATATTTATTTTTTTTTTTTAACATGAAGCTTAATGGTTTTTTATTCTTTTTTTAATAAGTTAATAAGATTTAATAATATCCCTTGGAAAATTAAGAGTTTTTCTATCTCCTCACTTTTCCTTTTTTCCCAGGTGATTGCTATTAATAAAACTGATGCTTAATTTCCGTTGGTACATAGATAGAAATTCAATAACAATAACCAGGTGATATGTGGAAAAAAGAAAGGAATAAACTTGTTAATTAGGCTAATCTATAGAACTGAGATGTATATATTTTTAAATTGTCTTTTAGACAAGAAAATTACCTTATGATAGTTGGTATTCAGACAATATTGTTCAACTTCATTCCTATTAGCCAACTGATCATAGCTACCCAAACCATTACTGATAGAGTGTCAGACTTATTGATGTCCTGAAAATTTTAAACAGGTAAGAGGTAGGTATAGAAGAACTCTTTCTGCTAAAAATATTCGGAATTGTAATCATTGTTATCAGTAATTTATTGAGATACAATTTTCAAAAGCAATGAAAAGATTAAGGAATTTATTAGAACATGCTAAGTCAAGTCTAGCTTTAAACACATTCTGGCTTAAATGTTAAGTGAGTCAGATGTTAGTACCTGGCTTGCTGCTAGACTTTGTAATACTTTTAAATCCTCTGTATAATGAATTAAGATGACAGGATTCCTCAGCTTGGTCTGCTATAGTAATAAGATTGTTTGGGAAACTTCATACAGAGGTTGTGCATAAAGAAGGTAGTGGGAGCCAGTCACTAAAGCAGCATTTGGGACTAAGGATTACATCTCATTGTCATCAGCCTAGTGGAGCCCTCTTACAGGAAAGGCAACATTTCATATACTGTCTCTGACAAGGAGGCATAAACCTACACCTCCAGCCTTCCAGCTAAGTAGCTTGACTGCAGACTATGGCTAAATTTGATTAGAGTGATATTTAGTTAGACATTGGCTTCTTAGCACAAGCCAGGTACTCATAGCTAACTAGAAAGAGTGGCAGGGACAGTCTCTACCTCCTCTGATGGTATTCACCAAGCTCTTATTTAGCAAGTTTTTTTTAAGGAGTTCGAACTATTCTGCCCTCTTCCCCTCCCCCCCAGAATTCTACTGTTTCTCTATCTAAATCCTTTCGGCAGATAAACACCTTCTGAATTCTGGCCCTTTGGCACGTAATCTTACCTCGCTGAAAGTTGATGTGTCTTTAGAACATAAGATCAGAAAATCACTTGAGATCTTGGGTTTCAGAATTAGTTCTTCTAAAGTCATTATTCTTTCTTCACTAAAAAAACAAATATGGCTCCTAATAAGGAAGTTACTTTCAATGATTACTTTTTGGGGTATGTGAAATAGAACAGTGTAATGAATTGTTTAAAAGCTTCTTTTTTCCTAATTTATGTCAGAATAAAGCATTTTTCCCTTCTGATTAATTACAGGAGACAATTTGAGGAAATTGCATCCCACTTTAAAATGGGATCAGTGGAAGAACTTGCAGAACATATTGCAAAAGCTACATCAGAATCACGGCAGAAGTTGCTGAGGGAATTTTACATTTCAAAGCATCCAGAAATTGAGTCTTTGTTTTCAGTGGAAGTACCAGCACAAGTTGCACATGACTATGAAGAAGGAGATGCGGCTGCAAGAAAATCAAGGAAAAGAAAATGTGTTGTTAATTCCGGAAAATGTAAGTCTGGACCTTCATCAGCTAAAGAATTTCTTCCGAGTGGAACTACAGAACTGCTGAACCAGCAAAGCTGTGAAGTAGAGCAACTTTGCAATGACTCATGCTTGCAAGATACTATGTGTGTTGATGTGAAATATAGACAATCACCCACTGTTGCAACTGAACATACTGAGAGGAGTAACAATCAGGCATTCAAGGATTTTATAACATCTGGTTCATTAAACAGTAAATCAGAAATAATTGAGGTGCTGTCTGTAAAAAGCTGTGAAGGACAGCAGGACCCAGAAGTAGCAGAGCTGCCAAGAAAAAGATCCCTGTCTCTGTCAGAAAACAGGGAGAGAAGAGCTAAGGCTGACAAAGAGTCTTTCCTTGACTTACTTGGAGATACCTCTATTCTCAATGTTCTCTTCAGAAATAGTGGGAAAAAAACTACAGAATCACCACAGAGAATCCCTTCAGGACAAATAGAAAAATCAAAGGAGAGACCAAAAGATTTCTGGGACATGCTGAATGAGCAGAATGAGGAGAGCCTCAGAAAGCTCACAGACATGACAGTTATAGAGGAGCTATGTGAAAGAGCACCTCATCCACCGCTGACAGAAAAGAGAGAGGTGTGTGAAAATTCTCTTTGGAAAAAAAATGAAAACTTTTTATGGAGAAAATACAGTTCAGATGATTCAGATGAACCGTCTTCAGCTACATCTTTTAACGTAGTAAAATGATAGTTTTCGACATGAGTTGTGCTAGAATTATTTTATTAGTTAAATGAACATTATAATATATACAACTTCAGCAATATGCAGTGAAACATGATACCTCCATAAGTTAGAAGACAAAGTGATGAATTCCTATTTATGATGACCTCAATTTACATTTTACATTTCCTGTACTGTGTATTATTACTAAACTATGACAAACTAAATTGAGATAAAATTATTTTTAAATGTTTTGAGTGCACTTGCTTTATTGAATGATGATAATCCTAGATCGTATTATTCCTGCTGATGTTCCTCGGTTGGTACTAGTACTGAGCGGTTTCCCCCCTTCACTCACATTTCCTGCCTTTACACATCCTGTCAGAATCTATGTTAACATGATTTTGATCAGTTTGACTATAAAGCTGTGAAGCTCCTAATTTTTTTTTTGTGCTGTATGGCAGTGAGTTCTTCATCTTAGTTAATGTGGAGGATGACCAATTTTTGCTTGTTACCTGTGTCTCTTGGTGTGAAATCTCCAGCATATTAAATGATGGCACATGTTAAATTTCATCTGTCATTATGCTTCCTCTATTTTATTGATTTATATAGACTATTGTTATGCCTTTGTTGGAAGGTGTGGTCTGGATGTATTTTAGTGTTAATAATTTTTATATGCAATTACAAATGTTTCCATTTTTAAATGTGTGTTTTCTAGTGAATTTCAAGAACAACTTAGTGCCATTCAGTAATTCATACTCACTGTTGTCTCTATTTCATATATCTGACTATTCAGTATGAGAATAAATGGGTGGGACAAAAATGAAAAGCAAATATGATTTATTCTTGAAAACTGTAATTTCTTGCTCGGCACAAATGAATCATGTTTCCTTTTGTGAGCATTGCATACTGGAAAAAAATTTAAATTGTAAATAAAATAATTTGTTTAAATATAATGTCTGATTGCATGTGCAGTTAAAATCAGATTGCATCAAAGACTGAGCCTTTATTTTATTTTAACTCAAGCTTGTGCTCTTAAAAGCATAATGAATTAACCTTTTGAGGAAGTTAATCTGTTGAGCTCATTTTGTTGATGACACTAAATACTACTCTAAAAGTGTACTTCAGCTTCCATTCAGCATCTGCCAGTAGTCAAAAGTTTTGTCAGTAATGTTATGTGTAAAACAATTATGTAATTGTAATTCTTGCTGTGTGTAAGAGACTATTTCGGCGCTTTTACTCAGAGCTTGCTGTTGGATGACATGATGGACAAGTTCAGTCAAGTCTTGACAAGTCCAAGGAATCTTCTGTCTGAACTCTTGTAGGCCAGGGATCCCTGGAGAGATAAGCAACCTTCAGCAGCTGCTACATGGCCGGAGAGCAGCCTTTTGTGGGCAAATCCAGAGGACCTGCATGCCCACAGGTGCTGCCTGTGACTCTTAGGTTACTAAGTGCCCAGGAATGCCTCGCTGATGGAGAAAGAGGATAAAAAAAGGCACGTACCAAATATCAGATCCTTTGTGGTGTGATACTTGCCTGCTGCATGATTCTTCTGGGCGTGCTACCTGAGACCTGCCTGTTTTTCCTGCCTACTGTTTATCTGCTTGCTGCCTAAGGCCAGCCATTCTGCTTCCACCTTCCCCTGTGCCCTTTTTCCCTCACTGGCTTTAGACTGTCAGAATGGGAAGCTGCTGGATCCTTGGTGGTGACTGTTGGAAATATCCAAATAGTTTTTGTCAGGACAGTATCTCTGGTAAAAGCAGATTTTTTTCGCGATTGCAATGGTGGGCATCCTGCAAGCAGGAGCACCCCTAAGGACACAATGACAACTTTTTGTACCTTGTTTCCCCCTTTGCCTATCCCCCTCCCCTGTTTCCCCATTGGCTGGGTACTCCAGGTTCACAATCTTATCGCAGTTTACATTTGTTAATTGGTGTGTTATCTGGTGTCAGTCAGTAGCCATCCTGTTGTTTCTAAGGTGTCTCAGTGATCTTCTTGTCATATTGATATGGTGATTTTCTTCAAAGTCTTCGTTAAACAAAGCGCACCGGTGGTGGGGGTGATGCCAGGCCTTCCGATGTCTCTTCAGGCACTTCCTCAGGCATGTCATGCCTTGTTCTCTGGTTTGATCTCGTGCAGGATATTCTCGCAATGTGTATGAAAAAATATGCATATACACACCTATATACAGAGTGTGCATTTCTGGGGAAGGTTCGTCTAGAGTTTTAGCAAACTATCAGAGACCTCTCCGAATAAAGTAGAAAGACTCCCAAAAAGAACTGACAGTGGAGACCATGAAAATAAAAAAATATCTAATTCTAATGCAGAAACAACATTTGATTCCCCCATGACTATCCACTCTTTATGAGTCTTTAGTATCCACTCTTTCTTGCTCCTTTCCTATCTTTCGTATTTGCCCGCTTTCTCTAAATTGGAGAGCTGTGGATTTGAAGGATGGATCATTTGGTCGATTAAGAATTGGCTGGTTGGATGCAGCAAAAGGGTTGTGATTAATGGTTCTGTGTCATGGTGGAGGCCGGTCACAAGCAATGTCCCTGAGGGGTCAGACCTGGGACCACTGCTCTTCAATATATTTATCAGTGACATAGAAGATGGCATCAAGTGCACCCTCAGCAAGCTTGCAGATGACACCAAGCTAAGTAATGCAGTTGATACATTGGAGGGAAGGGAAGCCATCCAGGAGGACCTGGACAGGCTGGAGAAGTAGGCCCATGAGAATCTAATGGCTTTCAATAAGGCCAAGTGCAGGGTGCAATCTCAGGTATTTATACAAACTGAGGGAAGACAGCAGCCCTGCAGAGAAGGACCTGGGGGTCTTGGTGGATGAGAAGCTAAACATGAGCTAGCACTGTGCACCTGCAGCCCAGATGGCCAACTGTGTTCTGGGCAGCATTAAAGGAGGAGTGGCCAGAAGGGAGAAGATGGTGATTGTCCCCTTCTACTCTGCTCTTGTGAGGCCCCACCTGGAGTACTGTGTCCAGGCTTAGGGCCTCCAGTACAAGAAAGACACAGAGCACTTGGAGCAGGTCCAGAGAATGGCCACTAAGATGATCAGAGGGCTGGAGCACCTCTTCTGTGAAGAAAGGTTGAGGGAACTGGGTTTGTTTATTTTGGAGAAGGCTCCAGGAATACCTCCTTGTGGCCTTCCAATACTTGAAGTATAAACAGGAGGAGGTACAACTGTTTATGAGCATGCATAGTGATAGGACAAGGAGAAATGGTTTTAAACTAAGGCAGGAGAGGTTTAGGAGGAAGTTTTTCACACAGAGGGTGGTGACACACTGGAACAGGTTGCCCAAGGAGGTTGTGGATGCCCCATCCCTGAAAGCATTCAAGGCCAGGCTGGATGTGGCTCTGGGCAGCCTGGTCTGGTGGTTGGCAACCCTGCACATAGCAGGGAGGTTGAAATTACATGGTCATTGTGGTCCTTTTCAACCCAGGCATTCTGTGGTTCTGTGATTCTAATTCATAGTAATCGCTGACCTTTCTGCATAACTTTAACTGGTCAGACAACATTTTACCTCACTTATGTTTCAGTCTCACCCTGGATACGTCTAAGAATCTCTTCTCTCATCCTGATAATTGGAGCATGGCGCTGTGCAACACCAATATGATACACTGTTGTTTCTGTAGCAGGAAGTTGGGGAGACTCCTCAAGAATGCTACTTAAAACATTTAAAGTGCACAGATTGAACTGGACAGTAAGGGCTTCCTAAGGCAATGTCAAGAACTCTCCAAAACTGCCACCGGGAAATCCATCATTTCAAGTCAGATCTTCATCTCATGACAAACCATTATTTCATCTATGCAGATGATTCAGGGAATAAATTATGAATACAGAAAGTGTGCATACTATTAATGTCTTCACTTCTGAAAACGTGAGAGAATCTGTGCATAATTGGATAGTATCCCATCATTTAGCTTGGTTACCCTCTGTGCCTGTTTTCAAGTAGGCAAAATGGGGCAGCTGTGAATATATGCTGAATGGCATTCTCTTTTCCATGAGTTAAGCCTTATCTGGTGGCTTATGTCCAAGCCTTGTTGTGTACAACATACCTGTTGGTTCTACTGCAAGGTCTGCTTAAAAGGCTTATTTGGTTGTGTATACTTGAGGAAAATCCTAATAGTGGTTTGTACCAGCACCTAATAGTGCTGAGATTTCAACTTCTGCTATGTAAGCAGATTTCTCTGCTACATAGGCTTTAAATGTAAGGTATTGTGTGCTGCTTTACTTTTGGCATGACAACTGCTGTATGGCTGTTGTGTTCTAGACAGAGCTAATAAAAAGTGTACACGTGTCTTCTGTATTTAACTGCACCCTTATACCCAGAAGTCAAAATGGGTATATGACCATGCTATCTAGAATTAGCAGTTCTCAGAGCATCATTACTTTTCATTCACAACTATCAGGTAAAATTATTTTATGTTGAGTTTTTTAAACATCCGTTTTACCCAGGAGTTCTCTAGTGCTACGTATGCCTGTAGAGCCATGCATTACAAAGTAAGTGTTTATAAAACTGGGATTGAAAGTTCAATCACAAGACTTATCTGTGATGCTTTTATCAAACACATGCATTATCAGCTAGGATGATGCATCATGATGTTTCTTATCCGGTCATGATATAATGTACGGTGCAAAAGATGTACTTTACTCATTCCATCATGGAACACACTTGTTTTGTTCTACTGAGGTGGTGAGAAATTCAACCTAAAAGTGAAAACAGAACATAAATTTTGTAAAAGTTATTAATACATTCAAGGGTGTAGTTTAAGGAAAAGAAGCCACTGGATCTTTTTTGTTTCAATACATAATCTATCCATATTTCAGAAAGTAGGAGGCTCTGGTGGAAATTTTTGAAAAGATGCAAGAGAATATGGAGAAAGAAGAGATTTACGTGCCCACAAGTTGTCATCTTACTCCTAAGAGACTGTCTATAATGGGATCTCTAAATGAAAACATTTTCACAGATTGTAGATTGAAGTGGTTATAAGATAAGTAACATTGTGTGTCATTTGCTAAATAGTCTGTCACATTTTTTGATATTCTGGTATCATATGAAGGAGTACCTTATCATAACATACAGCCAAAGGAGGCCAGAGCTTCATGTTGCTCTGGAAACCTTAACCCTAATCTTTGATTCCTGTAAGCTTTGACATCATAAATTTAATGCTGTATTAGTATGGAGTTCTACATTGAGTATACTCTGTAAGTTGTTTTGTGTAAACGGTAAAAGTAATGAAATTTTAAAACCTTGAACACACAAGCTGCACAGCAGCAGTCTGTGAATGGTAGTGGTTTTTGTGGTCTGGATGACTGCCCATTGAAAAATAAGTTTAAATTTCATCTGGATCAGCTTTTACTTTAGGTCATGGGAAGATGTTGTAGTCTTTGCTCTTGCTTGAGTTAACTGTTATGTGCTTATTGTAAGTGGAAGTCATCTAAAAACTTACTGGGAAATCTGATTTAGCTATCTGGAACAAGCAACTCAATATACATGATAAAGTAGTAAGAAGCTTGGTCCTTAGAAGCAACTAATGTGAATAAGATAAATGTATTCCCTAATCATCTCTCCCATCTTAAATCCATGTTGTTACCATTTTATTATACCTGATGGCATTTAAGATACAAAATGAAATTCAAGATAGTCAATCAGAGCAGCTGTTTCAAAAAAAAAATCTCATCTAAGAAAATAAATAAGCCATAAAACTGTTAGTCATCAGTGCATTTAAATTACATACAGTTGAAGAAAGTCAGTGAAAGACAGACAATATCTGGACCTTCTTGATGTTACTCAGTAGGGCATAAATTAAGGGTTTTTTTGTTGGCAGTAATACTGATTTTCTTTAGAGATCAGCATTCTTATGCGAATGAGGCAAATTGCTGCTTCTTATCCTAAAGATGAGATGGATAAAGAATATGCCCTTTAAACACATAGAAAAGCTGCTGCAAAGGGGTATAATTCCTTCATATCTGTCATAAAAAGACAGGAGGTGAGTGGCTTA